ATCATTTAATAAACTTTTTATCATTTTGTGGAGTCCAATAATTAAGCCAACCAATCAAATATTTCAAAAACATAACAACATTTATTATATATTATATTAATCTATTAAAAAATCATTTAATGAATTTGATATCTACTGTCAAATTTGACTGTAAAAGGCTTTACCTTCAAATGACTCAGCGCCACATAAGAAATTGAAGGCTCGGTTGGAGAGAGTTTGCTGCCATTTTTTACTATTGTATGCCTACGTGGCAATTTTAACATCTGCTTTGGAGATGCTCTTATTGGTTATAATATTGACTGAAATTTATAAAAAAAAATTTAAAAAAAAAGAAGGATATCTGAATAAAAATTAGTAAAAAAAAAGAAAATTAAAAGCAATACAAGTATATTTATACAAATAAAAGTGAAGCAGATGATACTTTTATCACAATGACTGCAGGCAATCATGTTTATGCATCTTTATGCAAGTTCGATTTTCACTAATCTCCCTCCTCTTAACAACTAACAATAAATCTACTTACACTATCTTTTGTAAAAAAGATATAAATAAAACTGACATACTTACTCTTACACTCTTATATATAGAACTCACATAAGTATATAGTTGAAGATAGATTGGGTCCATTGGGAGACCTTGTCCAGGATTCCCTGAGAGAATATGGGTGTCCGATCCATGTCCTCATCTCCTCGCAAAAGGACTCTCTATATGATGATTCCTTTATAGCTCAGGCAAACAAGTAAGTACAATCACGTGTGGTTATGTCTTCATGTGCATGTGTACACCAGCACAATGTTGTAAAGTTGAAACGATCAACAACTCTTTAATTAATTTTCTTATAATTTGACACCAAAATAATGGAGTTTGCCACCGCCGTCAGAGCCACCCCATGTTTGTTTTGTCTGGGAAAAGGGTAGCCACTGGCCAGGCCACCCTCTCTTTACCTACCATTTTCATATTTCATTCACATCACCACCACCACCACCACCATATTCTAACAACCAACAGCAGAAAGCCGTGCGTACATTCAAAGTACTTATAATTATAGCACGTTCCCTTCATTTCAATTTGTAAATAATATAAGGGAGACTTTAGATGCGGTCTTTAGCTATAAATATTCTTTGATTGAAACCTTATTGGTTTTTAATTTTTGGTCGAGGTCCCTGAAATCAATGTGATCATTTATTTATGTGTACGTTACTACATTTTTTTAAATTACAAATTTTAGTTGTTTATATAAATGAGATTTTAAATAAAAAACCATAATTTGTGGGATTAAAAATATTAAAATATAAATATACTATTGTGTGTGTGTATAGAAACATGGTACATTCATCAAAATTAACCAAAAAAATTATTGTATCAAAACATGGGTACATTCTTCAAAATCACCAAAAAAAAAAAAGATAGTAGGCTTAATAACATTAGTAAATTTCTTCGATTAAACTTGACATGAATACATTTTAAAATTAAAAAAAAGAATGAACCCATTTAAGTTTAAAAATGGATTTAAAAAAATTGAATAGATTATATATATAAAGGTGCATTTTACATATAACAAATTGGTATATTTAATAATGAGTACATTTTAAGATTAAAAAGTTTTACATGAATACCCATATAATTAGCATGGGTACATTTAGCAAAAAATAAAAATAAAAAAATATATATATACATACACATATAATGGGTTCAAATACAAATAAACTTTAAAAAATATGGGTACAAAAAGAAATTAATATATGGGTACAAATTAAAACTGAAAAGAAAATTGGTACAAATTAAAAAAGAATTAAAAATAAAAAATGGGTAAAAACTAAAACTAAAAATATATGATAAAAATTTAGGTATAAATATAAATATACTAATTGTGACATCCCACATCGCCCAGGGGAGTGATCCTTATATGTATATTCACATCCCTACCTAGCACAAGGCCTTTTGGGAACTCACTGGATTCAGGTTCCATAAGAACTCCGAAGTTAAGCGAGAAGGGGGCTAGAGCAATCCCATGATGGGTGACCCACTGGGAAGTTGCTCGTGAGTTCCCAAAAACAAAACCGTGAGGGAATGATAAGCCCAAAGCGGACAATATTGTGCTACGGTGGTGGAGCGGGGCCGGGAAGTGATCCGCCCCGAGCGGGGATGTGACAATTGGTATCAGAGCCTAACTCTGGCCGTGGTGTGCCAACGAGGACGTCAGGCCTCTAAGGGGGTGGATTGTGACATCCCACATCGCCCAGGGGAGTGATCCTTATATGTATATTTTCATCCCTACCTAGCACAAGGCCTTTTGGGAACTCACTGGCTTCGGGTTCCGTAGGAACTCCGAAGTTAAGCGAGAAGTGGGCTAGAGCAATCCCATGATGGATGACCCACTGGGAAGTTGCTCGTGAGTTCCCAAAAACAAAACCTTGAGGGAATGGTAAGCCCAAAGCGGACAATATCGTGCTACGGTGGTGGAGCGGGCCCAGGAAGTGATCCACCCCGGACCAGGATGTGACATTAATTGTAACATTTTTAACATTAAATGAATATATGTAGAAATAAAAAAATATTTTATTATTAAAATAATTAATGATATTATTAATACCCAAGGACCTTGATCAAAAATTAAAAAGGAATAGGTTGTTGGTTTTTAATTTTTAATCGAGGTTCCTGAAATCAATATGATCATTTATTTCTGTGTATGTTACTACATTTTTTAAATTAGAAATTTTAGTTGTTTATATAAATGAGATTTTAAATAAAAAACCATAATTTGTGGGATTAAAAATATTAAAATATAAATATACTATTTTGTGTGTGTGTGTGTGTGTAAACATGGTACATTCATCAAAATTAACCAAAAAAATTATTGTATCAAAACATGGGTACATTCTTCAAAATCACAAAAAATAAAAATAAAAAAGATATTAGGCTTAATAACATTAGTAAATTTCTTAGATTAAACTTGACATGGATACATTTTAAAATCAAAGAAAAAAGAATGTACCCATATAAGTTTAAAAATGGATTTTAAAAAATTGAATAGATTTTATATATAAAGAAAAAAAAGGTACATTACATATAACAAATTGGTATATTTAAGAATGAGTACATTTTAAGATTAAAAAGTTTTACATGAATGGGTACATATAATTAGCATGGGTACATTTAGCAAAAAAAAATATATATATATATATGGGGGTTCAAATACAAATAAACTTTAAAAAATATGGGCACAAAAAGAATTTAATATATGGGTACAAATTAAAACTGAAAAGAAAATTGGTACAAAATAAAAAAGAATTATAAATTTAAAATGGGTACAAACAAAAACTAAAAATATATGATAAAAAATTTAGTCATAAATATAAATATACTAATTGTAACATTTTTAACATTAATGAATATATTTAGAAATAAAAAAAAATTATTATTAAAATAATTAATGATATTATTAATACCCAAGGACCTTGATAAAAAATTAAAAAGGAATATGATTTTAATCAATGAAATAGCAAAATGAAGGATAAGAACCTAATTTCTCCGTAATATAGACAAGGTCTCCCTTGGTGACTCAGACATGACAGAATAAGAGTAATTAAAATGGACACGAACACGTACCAAACTCATTTAGGACCTAGCAACTATTTTCAAATTTGATATTTTTATGTCTTGTACTGTATACAAGATATTTCGCATGGACGTAATGGTTTTCGATTTGATTGGTTTTGTATGGTTTTAATTGTTTCCTCAATTCTCAATCCAAGATCCCATCTATAGCATTCTCTTTAAGTCAAGTGTACAAAGACAATTGTTTTTGGGTGTGCTATCACACACCTCTTTTCATTTTTCACACACCTTTGTTAATTTTTGTCCATTGATCTTCTTCAATTCATTTAATTCGACAGTTGGAAATTGAGAGTGATGTGTGAGAAGTAAAAATACGTGTGCATATAAGACTACCCTTATTTTTAACTTGAACTATTAATTAGTTGGTAAGACTTTTGTTATGCAAGTAGCAACTGTGACTTGTCCATGTCTGCTATTATATAGTGTGTTATTGATAAGAGCAAGCAACCCAACTAAGGAGTCATTGTTCTTTTGTTGCCTATATAACAAATTGATTTGAATACCAAAAAGAATGGCAAAGAAAAAACTGGACTTAAAAACAATGAACATGACCAATAAGCACGTAGTGATGCCCCTTTTTTTCAATATTTAAAATGAGTTCAAAATTTAAATTAGTTTTCCATCCAAAAACAAAAGAAAAAAACTTGTTATATGTTGATCGAGTGTAAGCATATATTTTGTATTGGCATTTTATGTAAGCATATATTTCGTATTGGCATTTTAAGTTTCAAGTATGTAGTGTCAAACATGTAGATTGAACATAGAGCACGAATTTTAGAGTGTCCTTTGACTTTTGGACATGGCTAGGACATGATTAAACAATTGTCATGACATGTTTGGGGTCAGTTTGTCATTATATTTAAAATTTCAGGACTCAAATTGAAAATTTTAAAAACTATACGATCAAACTATAAAATTTGAGAATTCTTTTAAAGACCCAACCCCATCTCCCTATTCACACTTAATCTATTTGGAATAAGACATTAATATTAGGGTTTTTTATATGCAACGCAACTTTATACTAAAAGGGCTAGAGATTTGTTTTCTTGGTTAAGAGTATTTACTCTTGTTTTTGAGCCCCTAGTTCGATTCCTCCTTTCCTTAAGATTGCCTGTATCAAGAAACAAGGAGCAATTTAGGCACAATTAATCAACATAACAAGTTAATATTGAACTCGCCATTCACCGAAGCCGAACCCAATATACCTCTTACTACAAGTGAAACTACAATTGTCAATTGTATTTAGATTTTGGCTTACATACTGTTGAAATTGGAAAAGAAAATGGGTCCCTTTTGTGACTATGTCTTGTGTACAAGAAAAAGGCCCATCTCCGAAACCCTGGGCCGATCAAAGCACTAGGCTCAAATCAAAAGAACAGTAACTCCGTTTCAAAGGAAAGTAGGAGGGGCGTTGACGAACGCAACAGACAGACAGGTGAGTTTCGGAAGAAAGAGAGCCGATTCATTCGGCTGAAGGCGGAGGAAGGAGATCTTCTTCTCTGTGACTGTACTAGGGTTTCCAAAAACTAGGGCTTTCGTCATCCGCCCTCTTCAGTTTCCAATCCGTGCAGTCGCAGGGAGACTCTGTTTTTCCGGAAGCAAAACGCAGGAAAAAGAGAGCAAAAGCTCGGGTTTTGAATGAGAGGCGAGTGTCATAGGCTCAGAAATTGATTTGGGAATTACGGTTTTGAAATTCGATTGCGTGGAGGAAAGAGGGTAGTCGGAAATGGCTTACAGAAGAAGGCAGCAGGTTTCGTCGTCGTCATCGACATCAAGCACGAGCTTTCGATTTGAAGAAGAGGAAGATAAATCTCGGTACCCGCTACCTTTGCTGCAGTCCGACGATTCGCTTGCGGCCAAAGCTATTCGAGCCTCGTCGGCGCATCGCGACTCCTCTCTCTCCTCCGCTTACGCTGCTCGCGGTGCCCAGGCTCCTGTCAACTCCTCCTCCCCAACGTCCTCATTGCCTTCCCGATATTCCAACCCCTCCACTACTGCATCCTCTTCTCCGTCCTCCAAGGTCTTTGGATTCATAGGCATTTGTGCTTTTTCATCCGTGAATTGTGTGTTTTGTTGCATCCGGTTGCGGTTTTTATTCTGCCAATTACTTAAATTTGTTGCTTTTTGTGGGATTTTCAGTCGCATGAGTATACTTCATTCAAGAATGTGAATGAATCCAAACATGGGTTTTGGGGTGTTCTTGCTAGAAAAGCCAAAGCCATTCTCGACGACGACGATAATGGGGCTCAAGATTATGATTCACCCCGAACAACAAGGGTGGACATGCCATCTACACCTACAAGGGGTAAGGTGAGATACAGTCTTCATCGTGCCTTTATAGTAGCTTGGCATTTTCAAAAGACTTATAGTTGCTGCTGCATTGTTTAATGATTGTGTATTTTTAGACTAATAGCATTTAATACTCTAATTTGTGTATCTACTAACTATTTGCAGTATCCTGAACCAAACCAATTTGTTGAGAGCCGCGGAAAGACAGAGAATCCCCCATTACAGAAGGGATTGGGTGCATTTACATCATCACTTAGTTACATTAGTGGCACCATTGGGAATGCTTTGGAGGTAGGCAATGTGAATTTATGTTAAAGTGACCTTTGAGTTTAAACGTTTTTCTCATGCTTCCAAAAGTAATTCCAATATTTCACCCGCTGTTTCACTTTTTTCTTGAAACGTAGTATAGGTATCCTGGTGTGTTTATAAATAATGCTAATAAGAATGGAACATTGACTCTATGCGTGTGTTTTTGCATCTGGACAAAGTCATTGCATTATGCATATTTATGTAATTTTATCTTTGACTGTCTCTATACTCTGGAGTTGGTCCAATAATTGGTAATTGTGTGTATTTGATCATATATGCACTGTCTGCCGTTCACTCTTTGACAGGAGGGTCGTACGATTGTTGAGAAGGGGACTGCAGACATTATTCAAGAGACTCGTAAGCATATCAGGAAAAAGCCTAGTGATTCTGTGCAAAAATCACAACCTCAGACGCAAGCTGACCTCGAACTCCAATTGAAGGCATCTCGCGACGTAAGGTGGCAACTTTTGTGTCACTGGTTGATATTAATAGATGTTTCTTGGTGTGGGTTGAGCTTTTCAAATTTGTTATTATAGTGGGATATGAACAATGTTGGAATCTTGGAATAGTTTAATAGGATGTAACTAGTTTTCTTCTATCGTGTATGAAAATCAATTGAATCTGATGTGCCCCAACACTTAATGGAATGAAAAGTCTCGAATGACTTCAATGCTTCATCCATAAGCTTTGCAGTTGGGCTCATGCGTAGCATCTTTTGAACCATAGGCTTAGTGCCGCCCACTCTATCTTATTTATAAGAGCAGGAAAAAGGAGGAATTTTAAGATGGCCGAGTTTTATACAAAATGCCTTCTATCATAGTTGTTTGATGTTTTTATGTTACTTGTAATAGTAAGATGCATGATTTGCCCTTTTGTTTTTGCACTACAGGTTGCAATGGCAATGGCTGCCAAAGCAAAACTTCTTCTTCGGGAGTTGAAGACTGTCAAAGCAGATTTTGCTTTTGCGAAGGAGCGATGTGCTCAGCTGGAGGAAGAAAACAAAATCCTTCGGGAGAATCGTGAAAGGGGAGACAACCCTGAAGATGATGATATGGTATCCATTTTTTTTCCATTTCTTCACTTCTAGTGTTTTTTGGTTCATTCTGTCACATTGCCACTTTCCTTTCTTAATTTCTGTTGAGACTTGTGAAAGTTACGATATTCCAGTACAGTAATCTCCTTGTTTACATTGCAATGTTTGTGCATCATATCTCTTTCTATATCCATAATGGCATTGGGTTGCAATGTGTTTGATAATAATATTTCTGTTCAGATAAGACTGCAATTGGAAACCCTGTTGGCAGAAAAGGCTAGATTGGCACACGAAAATTCAGTATATGCACGTGAAAACCGTTTCCTAAGGGAGGTTGTCGAATATCACCAACTCACTATGCAGGATGTTGTATACTTGGATGAGGGAAATGAAGAAGTCACCGAAGTTTATCCCATCAAGGTACCTTCTAGTTTCCAGTCTTTCCTAGTCCCTGTTTCCCCCACTGCCTTCTTGACCGACTTTGACGTAACTTTTCATCAACTCAGGTCATCCCTCCTTATCCTTCACAGCCATCAGAAGTCCAGGGAGCTTCCCAAAATACTTCCCAATGATGGAAAATGGCACCGAATAACGCTGAATCTTTTCCTCTTTGATTGGCAAGGGGATATGTACTTTCAACAAAGGCTTAAATTTGTAGCAATATTATCTGTTGTTTGTAATATACTTTTTGCCATGTATAATCGGTCCTCCCAATCGCTTGGCCTGTATGTGATGTAGTTCATGTGTTGTGAGTTTTAAGCTTTCAAGCTTGTGATTCCACAACGTTAATTTATTAGTGCTTGGGAGTTGAATTATCTCTTTGCATATTTATACCAACAGCCACAAATTTGAATGGACGAGAGAAATTTACATGCAAGTGGGATGATAAGTTGGTGGTATCCGAAGCCTATCATGACGTCATGTGTTTTAATTTTTCACATAATATTGTGTTTTTGGTTTGTGATACCGCAAGTTTGGGGTCCTAGTTGCATGTAAATTATCCTCGATATCAATGTGCAACAGAGTAGATGTATTAAATATAATTGAACAGATGGTCTCATCCCCTTCACAAGCTTATTTTTAAAAATTGAATGCTCTATAAACTTGGGGTATGAACTTTGATCACATGAAATGAAAGGTTTTGGACCAACAAATCAAATGCGGTGTATAAATAGTATTCCACCTGCCCGTGTGACATTTTACTAAAGCATTAAAAATCATGAAATTCTGAAGCATATGCCAACTACACAAGGTCGCCATTGATTATTTGTTCATATTTGGCGACTACTGAATAGTTTGGAAAAATCAACAGTTTAGATTTTACATATTAGTGGATCTTGCGATGATTAAGTCTTGCATATAACGTTTATCACTGAATGAAATGTAGCATTTTAACTGAACATACTTCGACGTAAAAGCCTTCAAACAAGAAAGCAACTTTAACTAAACAGTTATACCGCTACTGTATAAACATGTGTTTATATATGACATTATATTATTAACATGAAACACCGCAATAACGATATACAATATGCCATGAAATGCTAGAAGTCATCTTTATACAGAGTCATGGGTACTAGTGGGCTCATTTTCGTACAACTAGATGGACTAATGATTCAGAATCGGACTGACTACCTTTCTTTATTTCTTTTGAGGAATCAAAGAGATAGATAGATAGCATGACGGTTAGTTTAAAACAAGGAATATTTGCCTAATATAGTTTTAACTACTTTCCTATGTGCCAGTTGAGCAAACAACTTCAAGACAGATGTAATGTCCAAAGCTTGTGGACAGCTCCTTGCTTACCTTTTTTTTCTTTAAGAATTCATTTCATTCGGCGCCCTACTTATGCATCAAATCATTAAATATATGAACATAATTATATTGGAATGCTACTCTGAACTTTTCAATCAAACCTTCTCGTTTTATCTGTACGGTTGTCTGTATCATTCTATAACGTTGTATTACGGTTGGAACCGTTTATTTTTTAAATTAAGCTTTAAAGATAAACTTTAACAGAAGAAAATCAACCAAATCATAAATTGTTTTTGTTTTATTAACGTTGGTGAAATTTTAGTATCTAACTAAATAACAAAGTTCATTAGTTACTGAATGTCTATAAGATGACTAAACGATTTCAAATTTAGTTGATTATTGGCAGACTTGATTAAAAAATGACTTAAAAAACAAGCGATTTGAATCTTCGTGCATATTCTAAGATGATAGGGTAAAACGAGAAGATTTATAAAAATAGGTTGCTAGCATATATTACTCTAATTTTAGTTTACAAAAACAGAGTGATTAAACTACCTTGTTTGTTGGTTTTTTTTTTTTTTTTTTTTTAAATTGTTTTTTGTTTTACTTTTCTCTTAAGACATGGTTGGAAATGAAGCATAGCTGCATAGGATTCCTCTAATAGGCAAAGCACGTTGCGCCGGAGACAACAATGCAGGTAGGGATCAAAACAGTCCCATGTCGCCTTTGGGAACCTCCCAAAATTATTAAAATCATGCACATCTTGCAAAACCCTAATGACATTGTTTTTGTGTATTCATTTAGTTATACCAAACACAACTTACCACCATTATATTAAAAGGGGGTGACCCCAAGTCAGCAAGGCTCTCCGTTTTGTGTGGGGGTCATGAGGTGGGGGGGGGGGGGGTGGGGAGAGGAGGGAAAAATGTCTATTGTACGCAGTCGTACTCCTGTTTTGCAAAGAAATTGTTTTCATGACTCGAACCCATAATCTTTAGGTCACAAAGGAGCAACATTTCCGTTGTGCTAAGATTCGCCCTCACAACATTACATAGGATGAGGCAAAAATAAACTAAATCAAAATACTTTTGAGATGCATTGAGGCTAGATTTTGGTGTTCGAGCGTTGTTGTATCCCTCTTTACCAGTAATTATAATGTGTTAAGTTCAATTTTCATTAATGATGAATCTGATGCTAAATAAAAAAGTAGGGAAACTCCATGAACCAAAAGTACAATTATATTTAAAATTATATACGCCAACAATACATGTACAATTGTATTTAGTATTCATCGTTGATACGTCGTTACGTAAATGAATAAAGAAGTTTCTCATTGTGTAGAGCGTTGGTCAAACTAGCTGCCATCAAAATCATATCCTATGACCTCAAGTTTCCAAGAATACCAAGTTGTGGTTCATAGAGCAACCGACTTCAACTAACCAAACTCTTTATATTCCAAGAACAAGAAGACAACTTGACACTCCCATCCTTGCATTAAGACCATTATTGCACTGTTTTTGCAAATTCATAATTTTTTTATAAAGGGAATCAATTCATGTTTTGGTCACGGTAGTTCATTTTTTTTTAAGACAAGTAAGACCAGAGATATTTCAGCTTTTCCTAGCCATCATCATGATACCAAAGCCAAGAATTGAACCCAAGATATACTGTGTGGAACACAGACCTAAAATTGTCCCCAATCACAGGACCACTACGTGGTGGATAATTTGTACTAAACGTAATTAAAAAACAAACCATGCTTTAATAATCCTCTTCTACAT